TAAAAGAAGAATAGACTTGTAAATGTACCGTACTACAAATCTTAAATCTCTGAAATATTGACCACCAATTACAACATGACATCCTTCATAACATTCTTTACAATTCTTTTCTTAACTGAAACAACCTAACTCAATAGTATGTGGCGTAACCAGGGGGTGCTACAGTGCCTGAGGAAACACCCCTTTGTTAAACGTGGAAAAATAACAAATGACAAAGAGTTATTTTAGACGTTAAAAATCAATTCATTGAGTATAGCAACAATAGTTCTATTCTGTAATTTACTAAAAACCTTGTGTCTGTTGTTAAAACAACCTTTAAAAAAGCAAACCAAATTATTTTTTTAAATACATTTATTATATTTATTTAAAAATATAAAAAAATAACTAACAAATTAAGAATGTATATAAGTAAGACAAAAAAAAAGGATGTTTGTGACAGCCAAAAACAATTCCATTTACTAGTGTCACATCACGTCTGCTTAATTGAACGATGTAATTTAAAGTCTGCCATATAATATATTAAAGCCAATAGCCTAAAACACTTAATAACTACTTGTACACATTATGTATTTCAGAAGTTATTTAAAGGTGTTGATCTATTACAGTCACTTACTTATCACTGATTTTTCACAAATATATCCATATCCAGGACTACCAGTATTTAACCCTATTCGCTCGGTATTCTCAAGGTCGTGCCATTTGCCAGATACATAGGATTCCAGAGTCGTCATGTACACTCCTGTGGACTTACTGTCTTGAAGGTTTGGTTCATAATTACCCCAGTTTAGCAGGTTCACAGTCTCACCAGATTCCCAGTTCCAACTGCTGGCACTGCCTTTCGGCTTTCCCATCTGGCGTGATAATCCGATGGCGTAGTCTCCATACGTACAGTTTTCCAAGGAATTGAGGATTGCATTGTTTTCATCTAAAGTCGTAATGCTCACAAGTTGACAGTCCGTTTGCTGACACAAAACTTGAACTTCGTTCCAGCTTTTGAATTCAGAATACGAGTTTGCTTCCACAAATGTAGCTTGATAGAGTGACGACCCCCAAAAAAATTCGGCACAGGCTGTATTAAAAGAAGAATAGTCTTACGTGAAGAAGTATATCAATTACTATATAGCTAATCACTTTCAGAATAGTCAAACAAAGCAAATTATAGTATTCTTATTCATACATCATTTAAATATTATTATACCAGTAAAGCAATTGAACTCTTTAAGTTTCACAGTGATACTAAGAGCAAATACCATGTGTGATTTGCAAACTCAATTCCT